GGTCTCGCCAAGTTGCCCAGGCTGGTCTCAAACCCCTGGGCTCAGGCAGTCCTCTCATCTTAGCCTCCCAGGTTGCTGGGATGACAGGTGTGAGCCACCGCGCCTGGCCATAGCGAATCTTTTTAAGACACTTTAGAAATAGAATTCTCAGGGCATATTAAAGTTAGTATTTTCACTATTTTTCCTTAGAGGTATTGTATTCGAGGGAATTACAATAGACACACTTTGGGCTTCTCAAAATGCCTGTAATATTCAATGGGTCTCTGAAATCTGAAGTGACTTGAGAGTATTTTTTTTTTTTTGAGTAGAGTCTCACTCTGTCGCCCAGGCTGGAGTGCAGTGGCACACTCACGGCCACCCCAGCATCCAGCTGCTGGGCTCCAGCAATCCTTCCACCTCAGCCTTCCAAGGAGCTGGAACTACAGGCGAGTGCCACCACGCTTGGCTACTTTTTATTTATTTATTGTAGAGACGAGGTCTCTCCAAATCGCCCAGGTTGGCCTCAAACCCATGGGCTCAGGCAATCCCCTCACTTGAGATTATTAAGAGAAAAGCCTGGAGGATGGATTTTCTCTTCATCGTAATGACCGATGGTAAGGCTTTGTCCTCACAAAGTACTTAGGCATAGTATCCTCTAATCAATAATTCAAAGAAATGGTCCATAGGAAAATAGGATATTCCTAACCAAAGTATGTCATTTGAGTCCGCCCAAAAATATTGACTGAGAATCATTTGCAAGAAGGTAATAGGCTATGAAGCTAGGACTATTTTCATGGTCAACTCTGATTTGGGAGATGTCGGATCAGGCTATTGCAGGGGACTTCTCCTTTCTCATTTGATTCTTTTTTATTTCTGCGATGAAAGAGAGGGGGAGTTGCTTCTTTAAGAAAATATTACAGAAGCTTTGCAACATGAAAGTGTTATTTGCAAAAATTGCCAATGGCAGTAGAGAGGCAAGTGGAGAAAAGCTGCTTTTTATTGGAATTGTGGCAGATTGGAACATCTTAAGCTCCAGACTGAAAATAATACGTAGTAAGCTACTTTCAAATATGAAAACCAGGACATTTAAATATTGAAGAAGAACAATAAACAAGAGGATATCTGTTTCTCTGTGATAGGAGTTCTGTGGATGGGAAGATGTAAATAATAGTAATAGCTACCATTTATTAAACACTTATATATGCCAAGAACTTTACATGCATTGTCTTATCTAATATTCAAAACAACCCAAGATGTCCTATTTTATGCCCATTCCTTAGATGAGGAAACCTAGACTCAGGGAGGTTGAATAACCTGCCCCCAAATTGTCAACTAGTAAGTGATGAAACTGGAATTTGGACTTGGATCTTCTTGATCCCAAAGCCTCACACTTGTACTTGTGTCTTAGAGTATTCCCAAATCCTATTCCTTGTTTTAGAGCCCGGGCCCATATTTGCAAGTGATGACTGAGCTGAGAGCAATAGACTGGATATGATATCTAAGTATACATGGAATATAATCATTTGGCACAATCTTTTGGTCCACCTCAGGTTTGAATGACCAAGTGCATGCTGGCCGCTGGGAGTGGATTGGTGGTGAACGCGTCACCTTCACCAACGGGCAGAGAGGGCCCTCTCAACACTCGAAGCCTGGAAAGAACTGCGTTTTGGTTCAAAGACAGGGAAAATGGCAAACAAAGGACTGCAGGAAAGCCAAACCTCACAACTACGTGTGCTCCAGAAAACTCTAAATATAACTGGCCCTATAGGTGCCCACCTGGGATTTATCACCTATTTATTTACAGGACTTGTGATCCTTGCTCCATAGAAAACAAATCATTTTGACTGACTGGGTATATCTTTGTGAGTCTATCCAGTAAAATGGAACACCTCCAGTAGTTCCAGGAAGATTGATAGATGAGTATTTCATACAAGAGGAGATACACTTTTTTATAGCAATAGCTTTCAAAATGAATGCCTGCAGTATTGTAAGGTGTAAGGTTTGCTTATTCCAGAAGACCCTTCACCTTCAAGCCCCACCAATTTCATGGTTTTTGGATTTCTTTTGTCCCATTACCTCAAATGAATCCAGTCTGAAATATATATCGCAGGTGCTTCGACCGAGGCTTTAGATGAAGAATCTTGCAGATGGAGGTCCATCTACAAGGCTGTAGCTCAGATAAGAATTCTGGGGGCTACCTGCACTTCAGAGATCTACCCGTCACTACTCATGAAACGGATCTCGTTTTCCACCACAAACGGGCAGAGAGGGCCCTCTCAACAACAGCTATCCCAAAGCTAAAGATTACGTTTCCCTGAGCTTGCAGAGTCATGAGGAATTTGAAGTAACATAATATTTCTTCATCTGTGTTTATTGTACTGAGTAGCATTTCTCAAGGACGTTAGGAATAATTAGTATATATGAATGATGGTTGACATGGAAGAAAAATACTGCTTCCTCAGGAGTGTTCTCATGAACTATGCTGATGAATAAAGAAAAATTACACTGAAAACAGAACCCTTGAAAGCCTATATTCTTGGAAATGATTTTGAGGCAATTTTGAGCCCTTAAATCTTTAATATTTGCAGAAATGCCATGTTAACTAGGCTCTCTCATGGAAAGGTACCTTATTAATTTATAATTTCAGCTGAGTGAAACATTTTTGTAGCAACGAAACATGTTGGTAGCCTTACCGGAACTCCCTCTTGAAATCAAGGTTTAATTACAGGAAATTAGAACTTTGTGTCTGAAACATTTATTTAAAATTTATCTCTTTTCATAATCACCAAAAAATATGGTTGTGTCCAGCTAATGTAACTTCAGAATCGAAATGAGGTTATCAAGTAAACTAGAAAGACTTGAAGAAAGTCAGTCCAGTTTCTGGATATGAATACATGACAAGCTTATTTTATTTTGGCTAATTTATCATAGTTTTGATTCATAGAAACATTTACAAAGAGAGGTTGAGATAAGACTCAGGCATCCTATTTAAATCTAAACATAATTGTAGAGTCACTGGTTCCTTACCTTAGATGTCACAGGTAGGCTCCAGATTGGTACGGGTTTTCTGTGGGATACAAGAGTCTCTGGTGTTTCACCCAAGGGTGACAAATTCATCCCCTATACCAGCTCCTTTTAAATTCCTTTTGATGCACTAGCTTCTGCAGTGTAGAAAGATGAGACTTCGGATAAAAATAAAAAAGAGTTGTTTACTTAAGGGTTAAGTCCTAGGAAGGAAAGGATGGATTCAAAAGCCCCTCATTCCTCCTGGAACTCTAAAACTATACATGCTTTTAAAAACGAACTCCAGAACTATGTCAGCTATACAGAACCTGGTCAGCATGGTAGATTTATTATATATGTCTGCAATTCAAATGAGAAATGACACTTAGCTAATTGCAAATGTTAGCATGAAGAGAGAATGCTTTGGTTTTTATAACAATGAGACATTCTGGAAGGATGTTTAAAAATATTCCTGATCATGAAAGCATTAACCAGGTCAGAAAGATGAAGTAATTGAAAGATGATAAAAATAGACACTTCAGGCAAGTCTGGGTGCGGGACAATATTCATGATGACCTTAAACATTTACATACTAATAATTTCTTTCTCACAAACTGGTGCTGATTAATTTCTGCAAAAAAAAAAAAAAAAAAGCAGCCTATTAAATGTACTGTATTGAGTGTTATATTCAAATTAATAAAATAATCTCATTTTAAAATCTGAGACACTGTTCCTTTAGTTTTTGGCACTTTATATTTTTCCTGGGGACACATGGTTTTATATTTTAACGATTCTATTATAATAATGGATAGGAGAGAACACTCACGTGTCTCATATTTACTGGTTAGACTAGCCTTTAGTTGTAAGAACTACATGGACCCATGAGTCCATCCACCATTCATTCAACAAATATCAAATATGGAGTGTCAGCTCTGTACCTGACATTGTTCTAGAGACTAGAGATACTGTAGTGAATCAGATCAGAAAAATAAGGTATAAAAACATAATGCATCCAAGTCAATTTCTAATAGTGTTTTTTTAAGCCTCAAGCTTTTTATCAGGGAGGAAGTCACAGTGGAAATCAGTGATTACATTATCCCTCTTCAGAACTGAAAAAGAAACACACAGATACAAACAACTGAGACAGACTCTCGTTATATTTCCCTCTTGATTAAGAAACTGGTGTTAACTTCCTAACTTTATAATCACGTCGAAGTGTTATGATAGCAGCTGTTCCAAATTTCCTGTCTCCAGAATTAAGTTAGGGACTAAAGTTTTTAAATCCACTTAATTGATTTTGTAACAATTTCTTTTTTCCAAAATGATAAGCAGTATGTATCTCTGGATCTTAGAGATTCCTGGAGTAACGAATTAAAGAGAAAGTCCTTTGATAATACCTTATCTAATACTCTTATTTTACAACAGAGATGTTATAGTGTGAAGAAATTAGCACTAGAACGGAAGTCTTCCAAGTTGTAGGCCAAATTTCCTCGAATTATTCTACTTCTCTTTTACCACTCTGAGTAGATGGTTTTGTTATATTCAAATAAAATATCTGTGCAGGATAGGCATGATAAAATTCACCATATACTTGAGCACATTATTGTAAGCAAAAGAAGACAAACACAAAAGGCCATATATTTTGTGATTCCATTTACTTGAAATGTCCAGAATAGGCAAATCTATAAAGACAGAGCATAGATTAGTGATTGTCAGGGAACAGGGGAAGGGGCAAATTGGGACTAAGTGATAATAGGTACAGGGTTTCTTTTTGAGGGGATAGAAATATTCTGTAGTTTGATAATGGGAAATAGTTGCAGAAATAGTGAATATACTAAAAACGCTGCAAGTCAAATGGTACATTTTATGTTATAGGAAGCATATCTCAATTTAAAATGCTATTAAAATCACCATATAAAATGTATTTTAGAAAGGTATAAATGGGTTGGTATATTTGCTGTGTGTTTACCTGACTCATTCAAAATACATTTCCCAGTCTTTGCCCCATGTCTCACCCAGATTTTTGTTTGTTTGTTTACATAGGTGGTTGAGGGGAAGCGAATGCTGATTCGACATATGTTTAAATTTACAGCTCTGCTTTTTGTACTCTTCCACTCCTTTCTCCTCATCAATCATAGGAGAACCGTTACAAATGGCAAAATGTGTCTGGATGTCTGTAACGTCCACAACACCGTGATTTTCTCAAAATTAATTTTACAAGTCTTTAGAACAGGATTGTGCAGGAAATGAATATACTGTCCTCATAACCTACACATATAACTTCATTTTGAGCGGTTTTTATAGGTCTTAGATTCTGCTAGGCAATAAAGTTTAGTTTATCTTAAGACAGAAAGGAACAAAAATCAACCAACACTTCCATTAAAGGCCTCATGGTAACCCGCAACACTTTTTCCGAGCAATGACGTATGAGTTCACCTTTTGCTTCTATCCCCATCTGTATTTTTGCTTTCCAAAAGCAATCAATCCCAACTTATCCTGCAGGAAAGAAAATGTTCAGACCCAACTATATGCTGCCTACGAGAAACATACTTTAAATAGGAATACACAAACACATTAAAGTAAAAGAATGAAAAAAGATATACCATTTTAAAACTAGTCAAAAGAAAGCTGGAGTGGCCATATTAATATCAGACAGATAGATTTTGGGATAAAGAATATTGCCAAGGATAAAGATGGTTATTTTGTGTTAATAGGACAATATATCAAGAGAACATAATAATCTTAAACATTCACACACTGATAACAGTTTAAAAATACAGAAAGCAAAAGATGGCAGAACCGCAAGGAGAAATAGGTAAATCTATCCTTATAGTTAGAATGTCAATATCACTTTCTCAATAGAGCAAGTAACAGAAAATAAATAAGGATACAGAAGTATAGACACTATTGACCAAGTTAACCTAATTGAAATTTATAGAATACTGTACCTAACAACGGCAGAATATACAATACTTTCAAGTGCATGACACATTTACCAAGGCAGACCATTTTATGGAACACTAAATCAATCTCCACAAATTTAAAATAATTCAAGTCATACAAAATATGTTCTCTGACTACAGTGGAATTAATTAGATAGCAATAATGAAAATATTTCTAGAAGATTCCTAAGTCTTTGGAAACTAAATTATATACTGCTTTAACACATAGGTTAAAGAAGAAATGAAGAAGAAATCTAAAAGCATTTTAAACTGAACAGAAATGAAAACAGCATATCCAAATTTGTGGGATGCTATTAAGGTACTTAGAGGAAATTTTATAGAACTAAATGCTTATATTATAAATAAAAAGAAATCTTAATGAATAATAAAATAACCCCATTTCACCTTAAAAAATAGAGGGGAAAAAAGCAGAAATAAATCAATAATAAAGATTATAACAGAAACTAATGAATAGAAAACAAAAAAAGAACTGAGGCAATAAAACCAAAAGTTGTTTTTTTGAGAATGTCAAAAAAATTGATAAATCACTAGCCAGACAGATAAGGAGAAAGGAGAGAAGACAGAGATCACTAACATCAGGAATGATATAGGTGACATTATTACAGATTCCATACTCTTAAAATGATGATAAGAGAATGTCACAAATAACTTAGTACTAAGAACTTTGACAGCATAAATAAATGGACAAATCCTTTGAAATACACAAACTACCAAAGTTCAATCAAATATATATAATATGTGTGTGTAAATTGAAAATCCCTATAAAAATGTTTAAAAAATTAAATTTATAGTTTAAAACTTT